TTAAGGGTTAAAAAATGCTGCTCAGCATGTATTCTCAGTCCTCTTTTTCCAAATTCAATTCGAAAAAGAGGCCTGTATGGTAACATCAAAATAATCAGATCTCTTATACTTTTAGTTTTTATTTTTAGAAATTTCATTAATTAGATTTAAGGTTTTTATATTTAAGATTGTGCGTAAATATGGATTTTAATTGAGTTACTGGCAGGTCCACACCAGCCTTAAGGTTGCCGCAAACTGACCTGCCTTATCAAAAAGTGTATGTATGTGTGTATGTATGTATGTATGTATGTATGTAGAAACTGGAAAGAGAGGCTGGTAGACACATTAAACACATGTCCATTCAGCATTTTTGATAACCATGGTCTCCCACAATCTGCAGATATTGAGTGATTCAATTTATCTGGTTCTCAAAGTTAACTTTTCAAATTATATTCTGAAAGATGTAAACCAGTGTAATTCAGTTGACTTTTACCTTGTTCATAAGCCTTTATGTGGAAGGAATTTGTTGCCCCTCTTATGTCACCATATATCTCAATCACATTCTCAAAAAGGATAATAAGCCTTGCAGCAGCATCAATCACAAAGTTGGCACAGTTACCTAGACACAAAAAGACATGACATTATTCTAATAACTGCAACATCTTACAGCTGAGTAAATGTCCCACAGTGCTCTCAAGTCTCATGCATATACTTTTTCACAATTTTTTAGGGTAGCATACCCCCACCCCCACTCCCACCCCCCCTCCCTTCCCTGGCTGGGGTGTTACAGTTGAAGGCAAAAATCGGTCTCTTTGTCAGCAAATCGACTTAAAGTGCTGCTAAATGTACTCAAAGTGGGTTAACTTACTTATGATGTGATTTGATTATTGAATTCTAACTAGTGGAGGTACCTGCCACTGCTGATAGATAGGTTCGAAAAAGAAAAGAAAATCTTAAACTTGATCATGATTTCTAACATTTACCTTCAGTAGTAAATCTGTAATCTGTACAAGTTTATACTCTTCTACTTAATTCCTAAGCTGTAGTTACCTTCAACGCAGTTTATGAAATCAGTGGCCAGTTTCTCAATTGCTTTAGCAATGTCAGTCTCACTGCAATCTTCGAATGCCTTTACTATGTCCATAAGAGCTGTACCAAACAACTGCAGTCCTTTGAAAATGCTTTTGTTTTTAAAGGCATTGAATGACTCCTTGAACACTGCTACAGTTTGGTTTCCATCTTCAACACATTTTTCAAAATTAAAACCTTCTTTGCCTAATCCTGCAGCAATCCCTCTGTAAAGTTGAACCCAGTCTTTTTTTTCTGTGGCGTTGAATACAGTCAGAGTTGAACTCACTGCATCAAAGAATCTCTTATTCACCCTGAGAGAAGATTATCAACATCAGAATACACCCTGACAAATGTTACATCAGAGTACACCCTATAGAATAGTGCATGAGAGTACACCCTGCAGAATGGTACATCAGAATACACCCTGAAGAATGGTACATCAGAGTACACCCTGTAGAATGGTACATCAGAATACACCCTGTAGAATGGTACATCAGAATGCACCCTGTAGAATGGTACAGCAGAATACACTATGTAGATTGGAAATAACCAATGAAAAATTCAAGAATTGTGAGATGTCATGTTCAAGATCCAGACTGAGGCCACAGAAGTGGGTGCAAATCCCCTCTCCATTGCACTATCTGTGCCTTTTGAGAGAGAGGGAAAATTCCTATAGAGAGTTAAAGACGAAAGTTAGGAAATGAGCAGTATGCTTCACAATAAAATAATATTTAAGATACACTCTTGATGTTACTTACCCAGTAGTATTAGATGTTAATTTTAATAAATAATACTTACAGGTAACGGTAGTCATATTTGCCATTGGGAAGATAAGATTTGAAGGTCAGAGATCCTTCAGGTACTGGGTCTGCATTTGGATTCTGTCCTCCTCCAACATAAAAAAAGTCCACATACATTTCATTGTCAGCACCAGATGGGTATACACCTGAAGGAATTCATGCAAAAGCAATTGTTAGGATAGATTTCTTCCATAAGATTTTGCAGTAACAAACACCCAGAGATATTTTAAGAGATAATATAATGCCTAACTGACCTATCCAATCCTTGTCTGTGGCTTCATCAACTGGTACAGACCATGAGACATTAACTGCAATTCCAAATGCCACATGTGTTTTTGAAAGGACTAGGGACCGATTCTGTTCAATTATCTCAACATCATCTTTAGCACTTAACTGAGAAAGAGGAAGGCTGTTAGTTTGAATACTTATAGCAAATCCATAATCAAAACCAGCATGGCTCATTTAAATCTCATGATAATACTCATAAGGTTTGAGTGAAAGATACCATGGAACTTACTGCATATGCTGCCCACCATCCTTTGTCATCATTAGCGATGGTGGGATGACTGGTCAAGGCTGATGGAGGATGCACAACATATTGCCATGAGTTCCACTTGGCACCACGCTCGAGCTCCCACATGTGCCACAGGCCACCCTCTTTCCCTACTGTGAATACCTTAAAAATACAACAGTTGTAATAGTTTTACAAACTTGATCAGAAGTAAAATGTCATATGGTAATTTTTCAAAATAAGATGTTTAAAAATGTTGAATGTTTCAATATTGTTTCAAAATAAAGTCAAAATAATACTATACTTTATTCTGTTCCTTTGACATAGTAACTTCCTTAAGGAAACTGTGCAAACTGCACAGTGTAGTCATCTAAAAATATTTGACCCTTTGACCTCAAAGAGTGACAAACATCTAATTTCTCCTTACATAACTCCCTCCCCCCCCCCACATGACACATTATGATTATGTCAATAAAGGAAATGATTCACCAGCTAAAGAAAGCTCTTGATTGTTGAACAAATTTTCCTTGTTAGCCCCTTAGGAAATGTAAACTGAGAGAAGAGTATGGACAATAGAGCATTATGCATACTGATTATGCATACTGAACCACAGATCAGTAAAAACTCCATATTTACCTCAATTCCAAGATGTATATTAGCCCCAATACTCAAAGGATTATATGAAGGGTCAGTCGCAGGAATCTTGCCACCAATCTTGTACCACAAACTCCAAGTGCACCACCCCCAAGGGTTTGGAACCTTATCACAGGTTGTTTGCCATATGTGGTGAATGTAGCCATCATCACCATAAATAAACACACTGAGGACACCATTGAATATACTGTGGCTCATTTGGTGCACTACTGGGGCATGCTGGGTCTCTGGGGCACCATATCCTGTTTCATACCATGACACCCATTTTGTCGGACCTAAAGGTTTCAAAATGTTTGGATTTTTAATGTATGATTCAATGCTTCTTTGAGTATTGTATCCTACTAGATTAGCAAAGGAATTGATTTAAATTACCTATTTGCCAAGTCCTGTACATTTTATTGTTTTCCATGATGGCAAATGCTTCTAGATACTGAGAAAATAAACTTGAATCATAATTTACTACAAAAAGCAAATGGTCTTCTAATTACAAAACGTATATGTAAAAGACTTATCCAGGCATTGTTGCTGGCAACTTGCTTTACCACACTGTCACTCTTGACCCAGACTGACTCTCCATACCTTTGAGAAACTATTATAAGCTACTGCTACATCAGATTTTATTGAGACAGATGATCCACCAATCAGAGCCCAGTCCGACCAATTACCATTGACTTGCTGTGTCCAGTACAAATGGGAGGATTTTGTCACCGACCTTGTGAAGACTGATAGTTTATTCTGATAGTTCACTACTGACAAAGTGTCTTTTCCATTCAGAGTCACTCCTTCAAAGAAATATATTTTTTATAGTTTTAAATCTGCAATTTAGAGTTAAAACTACATGATTTCTCACTAGACTTGAAGATTTAAGTACATGCTGAGGACTTTATACATATTTATGGTGCAGTCAGGGGTGTGAGGTATATACAACTCACCTCCTTGTCAAGCTAAGTAAGTAATTAAGAAAAGTTCCAAAATGCTAGTAAGCCTAAAGTAGGACTCCTCCCTCTCCCCTTAAAATAAAAAAAAAAAAATCTTTTTTACACCCCTGGGATTTATCTAACTTTGTGCTCCAATCTTGCCTTTCATTAGCAATGTTAGAGACTTTAGAGGTTCCCCCTTTATATCTATTTTGAGTTTTAGCATGAAATATTTGACAATAATGATATATCAAACAGACCTTCTTCAAATGGAATTTTGGTACTGATTAAAAGCCACTTTCCAAAATCAAATGATGTCCCATCAGCCTCTTGTTTCAGGAAATAAACTTGACCATCATCACAAAGACAAAACACAAATGTCTGATTGTTGGGATCATGGAGGGCAACAGGGTTTGAAATTATGGATTTCCCTTCAGGAGAGCCCATGTCTTGCCTGAATGGGACATAAGGCACAAAGAAAGGAAAAAAATTATGTACATGTATATTGTAAAGAACCTTGAAGTAGTTCAATGTTCTCAGTCCTTCAGCTTGTTTTGTAAATGACAAGCATCAGCAGCAAGGCCCTCTCTCTCTGTAAATGTGTATATATGAAAGGCATCGACCTGATATGGCGGATCAGAACTTTACCAGGTACAATGCCCCCCCTTCCCCTCCTCTTCCCC